TTACTCCACGTGTCAATCGCGGAGCGTGGAGAGCCGCAAAGGTGAAGGGATTTGTGCGTGTTTTCGCTTAGAAAACTTTCCGGATCGTCGAGAGCTCGCAGGGTTTTATTTCTTTTCGCCGGCTCTAGAGCAGGGAAGCTGTAAATAGGGGTGGAAGCACGGAAAATAATTCCTCACCTTCAGATCTAAATACATAAAAACCATCTGTTTGACCACAATGAAATCATTAGGAACTGTCTACTTAAGGAGTTGTGTTGAATGCTTATCCTTCCACACAGGAAACGTGGATGGTAAGTGATTGTTGCAATAAATTCAAACAACTCCGCGGTCATCCCCGCGTTTGATGATCTGTGTGACCCGGGGCTTTGAGGAGGGGAAAAAGTGGTAGAAAAAGGAGCACGGAACGGGTAGGGCAGGGCGGGGGGCGGGGGGAGGGTGGGCGAGGGCAGCACGACCGAGCCGTGCCGAGTCGGGCCGTGCCGTGCCGTGCCGTGCCGCGCCGAGTCGGGCAGTGCCGTCCGTGCGGGGCTGTGCCGGGCTGAGCCGTGCCGGGTCGGGCCGTGCCGAGCGGAGCCGTGCCGTACCGGGTCGGGTCGGGCAGTGCCGTCCGTGCAGGGCTGTGCCGTACCGAGCCGTGCCGAACCGTGACGAGGCACACCGTGCCGTGCCACCAAACACCTGTTTAATTTACCGCCGCCCACATCGGACCCGCGGGGCAATCTCTAGGCTGCAACGTGGGCATCGCCCCTTTTGATTTTATTTTATTTCCTTGTATTGAAAACCTCTGCGAGGGGCAGCGAATACTGGAGCGGGAGGAGTGGGGCCGGCGGCGGAGTGGGGCCGCTCCGGGCTCCGCGCTCCCCCCGCGGGCGCCGGTGCCGTTCCGGCTGCGGGACGGGGGGGCCGCGCCGCGCACAGCCGTAGGTAGGTGGTTGGTTGCTTTTTCCCCCCCCCTTTTCCCTCCTTTTATTCTTTTACAAAACCCCAGGCGCTTCCTCCCCGCAGTCCGCCGCAGGGTATCCCCTCTCCGCCCGGGGGCTTATTTTTTTTATTTTTTTTTCTTTCTTTTTGGTTTTCTTTCTTTCATTTCTTTCTTTCCTCCTTTCTTTTCTTTCCTCTTTCTTTCTTTTTTTTTTTTTTTTCCTTTTTTCCTTTTTTTTTTTTTTTTTTTTTTCCTCGAAGAACTTTGCAGCCAAACAAACCCCACGGAGGGGCAGAGGCCGCGCTGCCCTCCCAGCCGGTGCCTCCCGGGGCCGGGACCAGCGCTGCCCGCTCCGCTCCGCCCGGCCCCTCCGCTCCGCTCTTTCTATTTTTTTTTTAATTTAATTTTATTTTATTTTATTTTTCTTCCCCTCCTCCTCCCCCCCCAACCGATATTCACAGCAGTGGACATATCTCACGCGTTGGAAAAAATTAACTGTTTTTCTTTTGTATCTTAATCCAGTGATGAGAGCTCTCCTTTGTTGCCTTTCGAGCTCGCATTTGTTTTATTTATTATAAGGAAATCCAGTTCGGTTCAAATATATAATCCATTTGAGCACTTAAATCCCCAAACAGCTGGCATTATTTTGTTTTATAATCTTTGGCTTTTCTGCTCAGAGCATATTTCTAAATTCCTACTTGACATTTATGGGGAAAAAACTTTTTAATGTAAATGGATATTGCGATTTTTTTCTGGGTCTCTCCTCATTTAAATGCATCATCAATTTCCCCGTGTTTCCTTTTGTTTTTATCTTTCTTCCCACCCACCCACCCCCTTTCCCCCTGTAACTTGTTAATTAATTTTTTTCCCCCTATGAAAACTTTGTTTCTGGAGGTAGAAAAATGTTAATTCGCCCCATTATTTGTATCTCTGACATTTGGAAATGGTTGAGAGACCACAAAAATGCAACCTGTTGTAGGAACCCAGGGCGGTGCGTTGTGTGTATTTTAATCGATAGCAGAGCAGTGATTTAGGAAGAGGAACTCCGAGTGGCATTTTAGAGTAAGCTTTGCAGAGGTGGTGGCTGTGTATGCGGCGTGCATGTGCCTGCATTTGTGCTCACCGAGGGGGTTATGCTTGCAAGCAGCTCTCCCTCCTCATTTCCTCACTCGCTGGGGTGATGCCTGCGAATTCCGGCTCTGAGCCTTCTCCTACTTTTATCAGACTTAACTAATTCAGAGCGGTGTTACAATCTCCACGCACAGAGGAACCAAAACCGAGGCGGAGAGAACTGATTACAACTCGTTCCTTGCTGGGAGATTTTATTTTTATGGTTCAGAGCCGTTCAATTTGTCTTGGTGGTGGAGTGTTATTAGCAACACACACAATTACACAGGTAATTTGTGTACACCTTAACCAGGGCGGCTTTAAAAACCCATAACTATGCAGATAGGTAACCATTAAAATTTTATATATTTATATATATGTGTGTGTTTTCATAACCTTGATACTTGGTGGGCAGTTCATGCGGCTCCATAGATTGATCTCCACCCCCTCCCTCCGCTCCTTGTTTAGTTAATTCAACAAAGACTTTTCGCAATCTGTTTGGAGTTTGTCTGATGCCGTGGAAAAGTAGCTGCTGATTTATTTGGTTGCTTTTCGATTTCTGTCTGCAGCCCGTCTTTTCTCCTCCTTTCAGCGGGGATGTCAGCTGTTATTACTTCCTATTGATCCCTTTGCAAAGTGAGAAGTGAACTAAAATTAATGTCAATTCCACTGCTCGGATCAATAGCCGGAGTTATTTTAATCTGGATTTGCGCGAGGTGCTAAATTAAAAAAAATCAGCATAGAGGCAGAAAAGCAGCAGTCCCTCCCTGTGCCCGCTGCCTGCCCGCCACCCCGCGCTGCAGCCGGCCCATCATCCCGCCATCCAGATTTTCTTAATTAAGGAGGTCGGTTAGTTTTCTTCTTTTGGGTTCCGTATTTAAACCGATGACATTTTGACATCGGGAGTGTATTAACGAGAGATTTTCATAATGACCGCTCCGCCGCGGTCTGATCTGCACACTTTGCTGGGAAAGGGGGGGGTAGGGGTTGGAGGGAGGCACTGGGGAGAGAAAACGAAAAAGGAAGTGGGGGCTGAAAAAAAAAAAAACAAGAAAGAAAAAGAAATTTGGCCGGTGAGATATGGTAACGTGTTGATTTATTCCTGGCGTAATGAAGTTTGCAAACGAATAAGCGGCCGCGGTGATTCACAGTATCCTACAGGAGTGTCAAGTGTTGCAGCCAGATTACTAATTTATGAAATACGTTTAACGTAGCGGGGTGGTGGCACAAGTAAAAATAGAAAAGGAGGCAGAGGTGGCTGCTTCGCTTTGTTGTTGTTTCTCTCTTTCTGACTTTCTTTTCTTTTTTTTTTTTCCTGGAAATCCATATTTTCCGTGATCGCTCGGTTTCACTTCCACTGTTTATTTCTGAGGGTGGTGGTTCCTTTGCAAGCGTCCCTTTAGATACAGCTCTGTGCATACACGTGTGCACCTACAGGGCCCTGTGAGCCTCCAGCTATGCCAAATTTCCCAGCGGAGGTGGTTTCCTGGCCACGAGCTTCCAGGAGCACTGCATGAAGCGGCAGAGCAGAGGGCTCAGCGCTGAGCTGGTGCCAGTGCACCACTCTCCCTATGCTCTCTGTGGCAGTGCCTGGGTGGGAAACTTATTTAAAATCTGGAAGAGAGCAGCTTCACTTGTGCGAAATCCATAATGCAGTCATTCAGCACTGAAGTCCGAAGGGGTGCCAAGGAGAGACGATGCCCACTTGTTTTTGCCATCGATACCCATCGCTGGGCGCAGGATGAGGGAGAAGGAGCAGCATTGCCGTGCTGTGCTGAAGGCACGGCTGGCTCCGTGCGCTGTGTTAACCCAGGCTCCCTCATTCACACAGCACAAAAGGCACTCCATTAGGGAGACACTCTTTCAGTAAGTTTTATTTGAGATGTTTGACCCGCTGGATTTAAGAGGCACAATTTGTAACAGCTTTTTATTATTATATGATTTTTCTGGCCCTTTGAGCTCCGGCGGCCGGGATATTGTTTCGGAGTTATGGTCCTTGTGTTTTGAGCCGGGCTGTGGGGCCTGAATGGCAGGCAGCGGAAACTTGAAAGAAAGACACTAGATTGATTGGGGGAGAAAATAACAAAGCAAAAAGCCCGAGTGAACTCAGGGGGACGCAGAGAGGAGCAGCTCTTCCTGGGAGGCTCGACGAGATGCAAGTCAGAAATTTGGTTAACATTTTCCTCTAAATGTTAATGGCACATCCAGGGCAGTTTACAAATCTACTTAAGAGTGAGTGCATTAGGAACTAAAATTACTGATCCATTCTCTCTCGTCCCTGACCCGAAAGGCAGACGTTTGCGGAGATCAGATGGCAGAAGCACCCATTATGATTTTAAACATTGTCAGAGACGCCAGGCATTTTATTGGAGAAGTCTCTTCTTTTGCTAACAGGGAGAGTGCCTGTGCATGTTTGTGATGATGGATCACGCACATGCACCCATACAGACTCATTCATACACCCCATGGCCTGTATTGCATTGTAGGATCCTACGGGTGCGAGAGTGGCCTGCAGTGTATGCTGTCAGAGTGGGGGAAGACATACAGCTGCTGGGTATGGCAGTGGGTACGGCATTAACACGGCTTCTGGTGATACGGGTAACGGTGCACAATAAGTACTGCCATATAGTTACACACACACACAAGCAAATGAGGGCTGTGTGTACGTGTGGGCATTCTTGAGTGGATGCAATTAGATGTACATGCCACTTTTCCCGTATCAAATTCCAATTATCATTTGGAGTTACCATCCTAATTTCAAACCGAAGCTTGTTTATTAGCGGGTGATTAAATCTGCGTGCTGCTCTCCCTGCTTTGCCTTTCATCTGCCTGCGCTGGATGGCACCCTTAACCTGGAAGGCCAGAGCTGCTCCCAGCAGCGTGTGAAGTTCTCTGTTGATTTCCTTGAGCGAGCGGAGTGGTGGGACCCACACCTAACACGTAATCTTCTCTCTTCTGTTTCCTTGCAGCGTCCGGAGGGTGATGACGCTCCAGTAGGTTTTCCAGCCCTCGCTTTGCTTTCCCTCCAGGGAAGGTCGTTCCGCACACGATCCCGCTGAGGAAAGACACTCCGATGGACTTACACCGGGCCGCCTTCAAGATGGAGAACTCACCCTACCTCCCCAACCCGCTGGCCTCCCCGGCGCTGATGGTCCTCGCCTCCACCGCCGAAGCCAGCCGCGACGCCTCCATCCCGTGCCAACAGCCGAGGCCTTTCGGGGTCCCAGTCTCAGCAGACAAGGACGTGCACATCCCCTTTACCAATGGCTCCTACACCTTCGCCTCCATGTACCACCGGCAAGGCGGTGTGCCAGGCGCCTTCGCCAACCGTGACTTTCCTCCCTCTTTGCTTCACCTCCACCCCCAGTTTGCACCCCCCAACCTGGACTGTACCCCGATCAGCATGTTGAATCACAGCGGGGTCGGGGCCTTCCGCCCCTTCGCCTCCAGTGAGGACCGGGAGAGCTACCAGTCGGCCTTCACGCCGGCCAAGCGCCTGAAGAACTGCCATGACACCGACTCGCCCCACCTGCGCTTCTCGGATGCCGACGGGAAGGAGTACGAGTTTGGCACCCAGCTCCCCTCCAGCTCCCCTGGCTCGCTCAAAGTTGACGAGACGGGGAAGAAGATCTTTGCGGTGTCGGGCCTCATTTCGGACCGGGAGACCTCGTCCAGTCCTGAAGACCGAAGTGACAGATGTAAGTACCTCCGTTGGCTTGTTGGCGTTCCTCTCGTTGTGCGCGGTTGAGATACCCAGCAGGTGGCTGTCCTTGTGCTGAAGGAGGGGACGAGCAGCCTTTGCTCCCTGCCACCCCGCAGCATTGCCACGTTTCTTATAAATGGACAGTGACAGGTTGCAAGGGGAGGTGCTCTGGAAGGAAACCTGCCTTTCAGGCAATGCTGACCTGTTGTTATGTGCAAAAAAGTGTCTGAGCCCCAGAGGAGTGATATGGGTATTATACATCAGTAGGTGTGAGCAAGGCTTCATCTGGAGACTTCCCCAGAGCTTGTAGGATGTGCACCTCGAGCTTTGGGGTTTTTATCCCGATCTTTTCTTTACACATACTGTTCTTGTAGCAAATGCATCACCCCCAGGGTTTGTGCCTCAGGTGGGGAAGCTGAGCATATTCATGGTCACCAAGGTCCCTCTTCAAAGCATAAACCCAAGTCTGTTCTTTCAGGTCAAAAAACTGCATCCCAAATAGGTTGTGTGTGTTTCCCACACTGGTGGCTTGGAAGGTGAGGCTCTATGGCTGTAGCTCCCCAGTCACCCCCCATCATTCCCTTCTAGCACAGGGACAGTGTTCCAGGGATGGGCTCCAGGGCTTTGAGCAAGGCAGGTACCCCAAAAGAAGCACTGAGTTATGGTCAGTTTGCCTCTAAGAAGCAGTGAGTTTGCTGCTATGTGTACGCTCCTTTGTTCTGCTGAATTTTCTTCCTAGAAAACAATTCTTTTTTCTGTTGTTGTTATGATTACTATATTTTTTGTGATGAAACTCTGCTGCCCTGCTTCCCCCTCTCCCTTTCAGGCACGATTTTTCCTCTCCCCTTTATGATGCCGAGGAGGTAATAGAGACGTTGTGGCTCTGCCTCCCCTGTCGGCGCAGCTTCCCCAGCCTGTCTCCTTGCATTAGGCACCGCGCTAACTTACCGCCGCTAAAAGGCATCTGCCTAAACCCCGCGTACCTTTTCAATAAAAGTCATCATAAAATCAACCTGCCTTGTAAATCCATCGCTCTTTGCTTTTGAAATATGCCGCCAGTGTGTCTTTTATATTCGCGTTCGCAGGGTGATTCCTGCTGAAGGCAGAAGCTCTGTGTTCCGTGCATTATTCTGCATGGGGAAGGCAGGTGGGATCTCAACGGGGACGTTTTATGTCTGCTGCACGGCAGAGCAGAGCAAAGGCGACATCCCCAACCTTCCACCGACATTAAAATTCTTGCGTAACTACTGGGGCAGTTTACACTAAACATGTCTGTTGGCTCTGTATCGTATTTCCATCACATATAGATGCTGCACCATGGAAACTCAGCTCCATTAGCACCACAGGTTTATCTGTCGTCCAATACGCGGGATGTAGCGCCATTTACACGTGCGTGTGGTTGGCCTTGCTCTCTAAGTGTATACCCAGGGATTGTAGACTCCACATGTTGGGCCGTGAGGATCTGGGTGTGCCTGTGTGATGCGGCCGTGTGTCAGAGCAGGTAGGCGACTGTAGCTTCTGTGCAAGATGCAATAGGGCTCCTGCCAGAGATGGCAACTGTTGAACATTGTCTTCAACCAGCATCACCTTGCCATGTCCAGTGGGTGCTGTTCAGGTTTGCAAGCTCAAATTTTCGGTTGTATTTTTCAGATTCCTGAAAGCATTATATGGGTGGTGAGCTGCTATAGTTGCACTGCAGAGTCTTCTGTAGCGCTGCATAGGAACCTTTTTGGATAGCTCATTAAAATGTTTATTTTTCTTCATAGCCTAAACGGCTATTATTTAAAAAATGTGTTTATTGCAATGTTTTAATATTCCTGAAAAATAACTTCATGCTTGAGATACTTTGAAACACAACGAGAATCCAAAGCTAGGCATTTCCATCTTGGAATGATGAAGTGGGTCTCTTTAGTCCCGTGCATTGAGGGAGCAGAGCCTCATCCTCTTTTCACCCATATGCTGAATTCAGTGAAATGATTTGGGATTTGTCACAACCACTGACACCTGACTCTGTGTGATATACTTGTATTGAAGTGAGAACTCATGCAGCAGCACTGGACCAGAGCTCGTGTCCATGGGATGCTATGAATGCACGGAGGTGAGGTGGTGTTCCTCATCATTCAGCAAACCAGCCTGAGGTTGGTCTGCTCAAACACAGTGCTGTGAAATGCAGGCACTGAGGACACCCAAATGATGCACAAAAGCAGAGACTTCCCAGGGAGCAGCGGTCTCACTGTGTGCTGGATGGGGCCCTTCTGCTGGGTGCTTCTGAGAAACGTGATGCCGTTTGTTGGAGTGTGGGGGCTTCTTGTAAAGCATGTGTTAAAGACACCGAGAGACGTATTTTATGGGTTTCCTTTAATAAACCCACGACAGCCGAGATTCCTAGAAGGAGTGGAAATTAATGGTGTGTTTCTTTCTGCAAAAGAGATCTATAGCTCCATTTTAGAATCAGAAGAAAAAAAAAAAACCACAAACAAAACACAATAAAAAGACCCTTTTTGCTCCTAATAAAACCCATCCCCATGGCCTTCTGCATGAAGCCACCACCACGTCACCTTCCCACGAGGTGATGGGCAGAAGCCTGTAGCCTTCCCGTTGCTTTCTCCCACTTGCTCTTCATCTTGCATTTGCCATGACCTGCTGGTGTGTCAAAGATTTGCAACCCCTCAGCCACAGCTTCCATCCCATCAGAACCTGCTCTTCCGGTCTCAGCTGCTGCCGTTGGCTCTCACGCAGCTCCAGGAGGGGAGCTCTATGGTGGCATGCCTTGCTGGGACCTCAAATCCTGACCCCAAATCCCAACTCCAAATCCTGACTCACTGCAGCACGGGGATGGCATCGGCTGCTCCATAGGTTTTGACAGAAGGAGCTGCGAAGGGCAAAGTATGAGCATTATTAATACAGTACAGTTAGTAGAATATTATGAACTGTTATAAATCATTACTGCTAAACTACAGTTATTAAAGGAAATGACCAAAGTGCACTTTCTGAGCCAGGATCTCCGACAGTTAAAGCGTTATTTTATTATTTCACTTGCTAACTTGCAAAATTCAGGAGGCAGCGGCAGTTTCCTGGTTGGGCTGCGATGGTTGCACGAGGGATTGGGAGACGCTGGAGGAGTGGGCATGCACAGCAGGAAGCAAGCACGGGATTTAGTCATTGCTTTTCTCTTTCTCTGATAGCCTATAGGTTTTGAAGGAAGGAGACATTCCCCTCATGCAGGTGCTCTGGGCCCACCAAGGCCACCAAGGTCTTTCTGGAGTTCCCATAGAAAACTCAAGCGTGAAGGTGCTTTGGAATTGTCAGCAGTTGTTATCTGTGTGGTATCATTTAGACAAGTCCCATTAAATGCTAGCAGCAGTTCCATTCTCTCCTCTTTGTTTGCCTTCCAAGGAGCAGAAAACAGACATAATTATATTTTACGTGAGACTCTAAGATTTCCTCTCATCTCCTCCTCTGCTTAATATCTGCAGCTATAAAATAAATTCCATTTGTGCATACATGGTGCTAGACAGAGGTAAATAACTGTCATTCGAAATCTGCCTAACCTTAATCTGTACTGGGAGCACTATAGAGCACCGTATCCATTTGTATAATATTAGGCTTTATTTTTATTATGGATTTCTAATGCAAATTCATAGCGGGGACAAAGTTGTTTTCTGCTAATGCTGCACTCCAAGGAAAGCGGCTGCTACGAGTGAATGGTGACAATCTCTATCCAGCGGTTTGTGGTCCTCAATCACGTCAGTATACCTGGGGGGCATTTTTCATCCTTGCTCTTCAGGATTAAAAAGCAGATTTGAGGACTTTCGAGGACATTTTTTGGCTATGCAAAGCAACTGGGACCAACAGTTAGTGGGACTGGTGTGGCTCTGGGTTACACACACGAAGCTTCCCTGGAAGCCAGCCTGGAGTCAGAGTGCTCTGATTGAACACTGACAGTGACATTTGGTGCAAATCTGTGGCTGTGATCTTGTTTTTTTGTCTTTCCTTTGGAAAACATAGATGGTGGCAGTGATAAACAGAGCGTCCTTTGGCCACCAGAATTGCTTTCTCCTTCAGCCCCTTGCTGGCATCTTGAAGTGTAGCAGAAGAGAGGAGAAAGCAAAGCTGGTAACTTGGAGCTGAGGTCTACTTTCTCACCGCTATTTTAGGGAAGAATGTGTTTTGTACTTTTCCTTGTCAGTGCTGGGCTCGTGGTGCACAGCTGTTTGCAGCGGGAAAAGGAAGGCGCTGCGTGCCTCTGCATCCCTGTAAGAGGAAGAGCTGGAATCCGTGTCCTTGTTTCCCGCAGCAGCATGGATTCTGGGTAACTGGCTCCAGGCAGAGTGACACAGCCCAGGATTTTTTAATTCAGAAAACACAAGAGCTTTGATGCATTTTGCTGGTGCAGTCCTGCACACCCGCATGTGCCCTGCGCCCTTTTGCAGGGCCAAAAGTGCATCTCAGGTCTGCCACAGTGAGTCCACGTCGCTCTGTTGAGATTTTCAGGAAAAATCACTTTGCTTCTAATTAAGATAGTTTAAATTTTAGAAGTCTCGACCTTTTCATCTGATTTTCGTGTTGTTTCCCTATAGGAAGCAACTTGCAAAGCCATTTAATATGTGCGACTGTCTGTCCTGTAGCATCCCTCACTATAAGGGAACATAAGATAGCAATCCCTCATCCCAGGCAGCCTGCTCTGACACTGGGAAGGCATACAGAAGGCTCTGCACCAAAACACAGCTCTGCCTTCTCCTCTGGCCTTGCTTCAAGTATGAGAAATATTATGGGGAGCTTCCCCCTAGGGCTTTAGGAGAGGCTCTGCAGAGTGCTGGCGTCCCAGTTCTTCCTCTGTGCTCAGGGCAGGGGCTCACTGAGCTGAATGCCATCCTGGTGTCTGGAAGTCTCTCGTGGGCTGGAGGGCATCTTGTCCCAGTGTCACTGTTGGCAATGTGGATGGCTTGGGAAAAGGTGGACAGCAGGTGAGCAGGGTGCAGCATCACTGCCAAG